CTTATTGGTATACTATTTTACAAATGTGGGATAATGAGAACGGTACTGGTGTTCAAGCTATTTACTTGACAATGTGTTTAAATCGTTTCCGATTTCTACTGAGGTGTTTGAGTTGACGACATTAGGTAACATAAACGACATTCTAGATAACAAAGGAGAGAGCTGGATAAACTTGCTGCTATACGAGACATTTTTGGACTTTTTGTTGAACATTTTCAAAAAAGTTTTACATCTTCAGAATATTTAACAGTTGACGAGCAATTACTTGCTTTTAGGGGGAAATGTCAATTCAATCAATGCTTCCCCAGTAAACCATCCAAATAGGGTATAGAAATATTTGCGTTAGTAGATAGCAAATATGCATATACCTATAATACGGAGATTTACTGTGAAACACAAACAACTGGTCCTTTTGAAACTGATTGGAGTAGCGCAGAGGTTGTTAAAAGAATGGTTAAACACATAGAAGGAACGGGCAGAAATGTAACCATATTTAACTGGTTTAAAAGTATACCTTTGGTTATCGACTTGCTTCAAAAGCGATTAACTATTGGTGGTATAATTTGTAAAAATAACAGGGAGTTCCCACAAGAATTTATAACATCTAAAAACAGAAACATACATTTTTCAATATTCGGATTCCTCCAAGAAAAATGTGTGTTCCCGAAAAAAAAAAATAAGGTCGTATTTGCTGTTTCAACCATGCACCAAGATGACAGTATTGATCCTGAAGCAGAAAAAAAGACCAAACCCAAAATAATAACGGGTTACAACAAAACAAAATTCGGTGTGGATCTGGTTGACGAGTTGTATGTACAATATGAGTTGGCCACTCACGTTGTTGTTTGATTTATTAACAGGTATACTGCCGTAGCGGTCAAATAAGCCGCCTGTGCGACTATCACTACGCGCCATGGCGGTCATATAGGACGCTGCGTCATTTAACAGGAAATCTAGCAGAAACACACTATTCTGACCACCACTTCCATTTAAAATGCACATGAAATGTGACTGCTTGGCGTGTACGACTATGTGAGTTTCCATATTAAATTAATAATTTTACAACATTACTGAAAATCAGGCAAAACATTATAAATCAATGTTTATTTCAAATAACCTGCGTAACAAGTATTATGGTCAATAAAAAAGTAAAAGTAAAAGAAAATAAAAGAAACACTTAATTTTAAACAGAATGTAATACATTAATTCTTTAAATGTTTTGCATTGAAGCAGGGAAGGTAAAAATGATGATAATCATCGCAGTCCGTACAGTACGTGGTAACCTTTTTTACTCTGGTTTTGGGTATCTTCCCTCTAACTATCTTTTCGTAGCATCCTCTACAATACTTTCTTACAACAGCAGCCACTCCTTCCCTTTTTAATCATGTATGGTTTTTACATTTCTGCTTGTAATCGGTTGCCGTGGGACATCAGCATGTCTATTAGCTTCTAAAATCCCTTTTAGTAAGTTTGCGACAAAAATCTCACGAAACTTGCTTATTGTAATGTTTGTATTAGATAGTTCTTTGAAAATTATGTGCGCATTTACAATAGTTTTGCCCAGTATGATTTCAATTGCGATCTTGCGATAGCACTTCAGTGAACGCCGCAAAGCAGATTTATAACTGGCTATATGGTCAGACAAATCGATTGAAGCTTTGCCAACATTGTAGTCTATTATAGCTTCTGGTTTACTCATAGAGCCCGTGATTCTTGAATAATTTTAGAACTGTCAGTATGCTTAGTTGATAAAATCAGTACATCACTCCATTTGATGATACAAATATCCCTATCGTTTTCTTTGGCAAAATGTCATTCTTTTTAATTTTTTACTTAGAACGTCTTTAGTGTTTCCTCTGCGGTTTGCCCTCAAAGTTCCCAGCAAATGCGTACGGTTATCTAGAAGAAGGTTAACCAATTTAAGGCTTGTATTAAAAATTATCCGTAATAATTGTACGACCTGCATTTAGAAGATTTCTTAAAAGATTTAAGTATTACCATATTTATAGGAAGTGAAGCTCCCTTGTTGCCTTTTCCGCAACACAGCTTGAATAGTTTCACCACATATTTGTGTGATTTCTGGGATATATATATATATATATATATATATATATATATATATATATATATATATATATATAATTATATATATATACATATATATATATATACATATATATATATATATATATATATATATATTATATATATATATATATATATATAGTTATATGACGAGTCTGCCTTGAAACGGGATTATACTCTCGTCGATGCAAAATACTTCGCCCGGAGTATAAATTTCTTGATATTTTTGATAAACAAGGTCGCCAATAGCCTAATATTGCGTAAGCGGTCTCTTTCTTCTTTATAGGATTATTGTAGCGATTTATTACGATTATATTTATAGCGATTTATTACCATATTTATAGGAAGTGAAGCTCCTTGTTGCCTTTTCCGCAACACAGCTTGAATAGTTTCCCCACATATTTGTGTGATTTCTGGAATATTGGGATATATATATATATATATATATATATATATATAAATAATATATATATATATATATATTATATATAATATATATATATATATATATATATATATTATATATATATATATATATATATAGTTATAGTTATATGACGAGTCTGCCTTGAAACGGGATTATACTCTCGTCGATGCAAAATACTTCGCCCGGAGTATAAATTTCTTGATATTTTTTGATAAACAAGGTCGCCAACAGCCTAATTTTGTGTAAGCGGTCTCTTTCTTCTCCTTAAATATCTAGGCTTGAATATCTAGGCCACATATTGAGACACGATAAGTACCGTTTGCTGCAATTGATTGTCCAGGCAAAAATTGATAGTAAGCGAGGGCCAGGCAGGAGGAGACACCCGTGGCTCCAAAATCTGCGGAAGTGTTTCGGGCTCACATCGGTCGAACTATTCAAAACCGCCGCAAACAAGATCAGAATTGCTATGTTAATAGCCAACGTTCGCAACGGACAGGGCACTTGAAGAAGAAGAAGGTCTCCTTCTTCGCAATCGTTGTTATTAGAAAAGTGTCACATTCTAAGTAAAAGCTCAAAGCGATTTCGGCTCATGGAACTTGGTATAATATCATTACGGACTAAAGATTCTTTACTCCAGTAATGTGACAATGAAGGCATTCGAACTAGGTCCATGTACACAAGTAGGCCAATAAATTTCAACATTTCTTCCCTGTTCGTAAGTTGCCAGTCATGTAACCTTGATTTTGTGGAGACAGTTATTGAAAGCACTTGTTTCGTTTCATATAAGTTTGGTCGACCAATAAATCAATAATATTGAAGTCAAGAAATGCATAAAAACAGGAAACCAGTATTACTTTGTCTAAAGAAAAAGTTGCTACATAATTTGGATTGAGACCGAAAGTATTATCAAATTTGAATCGTTGATGATTCCGGACTGGGTTCGTCCATTATTGCTGATTAGTGATTTTATCATTTTGAGTGTGTACTGGGTCTTCCAACAAAACATTTTCAATATCCGTCGCATTATCAGACATGATTTTCGTGAACAACAACACTAGTTTTATTTTTTCGCGTAGTAGTATCTTCGTCTAGTTGGTGATTGCCAACTGGGTTCGTCAATTGCTGCTCATTAGTGACTTGATTGTCTTGACTGTCTATTGGGTCTTCAAACAAAATATTTTTAATATCCGGCCCGTTATGCAGACATCTGTTTTCATGTACAACAGCACGGGTTTCAATTTTTCGCACTTTCTTTTTTGGAGTACCTAGTATATTCATCTGAAGTAGACGATAAATTAATATCTTTTGAACCTAAAGGTACCTACAAGTCTTTCTCAGAATCCAATGTATCCGAGTCGTTACCTTCCTCGTCAGTTTCTAAAATAATTCTAACCTTACTTTAAAGCGCTAGTAAATAACAAAAAAATTTACTATTTTCTTGTAGTTTTTACCTAGTTAATCGTAATAAGTATGCACCACGTGAATTTGGCAGCATTTTCAATCAATAATCCTCTAAAAAACGTATGAAAATCGTAGTAAAATGTAACACAATACGTGTACTACCACACAAGTGCGTAAGCTCAAGGTAGAACTGCTTTCTAATATTATATTATTTATCTATGGTAACTGCTGAACCTGACCCGTGACAGCTCGGCATACGAGGCTATTATCCACTGCTGGCGCTTACTTTGGCACCAGAGAAAAATTTTACGAAAATCACCTTGGTAGTTAACCTGTTAAATTTATCAAAAATTAATGCATTTTCCCTGTATAAGGCTAATAATGTCACTGCATCACTCTCAAGAAACATTTATCTTCAGGACATTTCGTTTGATTTAATAAAACCACGGATATTAAGGCGACTAGACAACACTCACACATCAACAGAAATAAAAGAAAAATTTTAATTTCTTTTAAAATAAATAAGGAAACTACTAAGGAAGTTCCGGCTCGATCTTCTGTCCTTGGGCGTTGTCATATTTGTGGACAAGCAAGGAATAAGAGCACAAGAAAATGGTGCAGCAGCTGTGATCAATGGACTTGCCCAGGTGCCCAAATTTAAAGCAAATATGTGTACATGGTGCTGATATAAAACAGAACATGCAGTCTGCAGAACTTTTTTTAAATTGAATGTACATTTTACTTATAAAATAAAGCCCATTATAGATTGCAGTGGTATTATTAAAACCTCATTAAAACACTTTCTTTAAATAATATTGCTTTTCCAGAGCTCCAGTACGTATGGATTACTAATGTAATCCACGCGTGTAGTCACGTAAGCAAATAGAGCGCGTGTACAAGGGTTTTAAAAAATATATATCTTTTAGAAGAAATTAGAAAAGGTCTTCAGTTAAAAGACTAAGTTCAGTTTTTAGAATTTTAAATTCATTGAAAAAAATAACATTATATTACCATATTTAAGTGAATAGAATTTATAGTATGTAAGTGAACTTTTATACAATTTTATGTTAAAGATACATTATTTCAGATTCTACAATATGGACTTACGAATGCAGATCCGAACAATGTGAGAGAAGACCAACGAACACCGATGAAACTAGGGTATCCCTAGAACAGTGTAATATGTTATGCAGTAGTCCGTCTTTATGGCCTAAACCTAGATCAGTGACCGTATCAAACAAATCAGTTTCTTCTTTTTTAAAGAATCAAATAAAATTGAAAACGAATAGTCCTTATTTAATTAAAGATGACTTAAAGCAAGCTTTCAGAATTTTCATAAATTCTATTCCAGAAGAAAATATATTTCGAACTCAAGATGAAGTCGATGTAGCGGATATTTATATTAACTTGACTGTTACGACAGAAGAAAATAAACCAAAACTAGATACAGATGAATCTTACACCCTTTCGGTAATAAAATCAGATACTAATATAACAGTAAACATTTCGTCTACCACGTATTTCGGAGCTAGGCACGGTTTAGAAACGCTCAGTCAGCTAATTTGGTTAGATAGCGTTTCACAAAAACTTCTAATATATCATGATATATCTATAAGAGACAAACCTATGTTTCCTCATAGAGGCTTGATGGTAGACACGGCTAGAAACTTTTTTCCAATGAAACAGCTCTTAAAAGTAGTAGATGGTATGGCTGCTAATAAATTAAACGTATTCCATCTGCATTTAACTGATTCTGTAAGTTTTCCAATTGTACTTCCTAATAATCCTTGGTTGGCGAAATATGGAGCTTACAGTCCAGAAAAAGTCTACACACCAGAAGAAATAAAAAGTAAGTTATTTAAAAATTGTTGGTATTATTTTTTTTTATCTCAAATTAAAGTTACGGTTATAAATTTCGAAATCAGTCTATAAATATAAATCTATTAACCTGGAAAGAAAAGTCTGCTCACAATCCTTTTTAAGTTTATTAAGTCTTAAATGATGTAATGTTTCTTCGATTCGTTTTGGAGTTTACAATTTATGTCCAATCCCCACAGCGCACTTATCTGAAACCGGTTCTAACAGTTTTGTGATCCCGGTAGCGTAAAAGCACAGGGATTCGCCCACGAGGTGATCTGACTGTAATTGGTTTCCAACAAGTCTCAAACCTATTTTATTTTACCTTCCTCCCGTGGTCGCAGTTGCGTTCAATGTTTTGTAGCGTAGCTTTATTATATGAATACTCTTACATTTCCTCCTTCCTCCTTCCTCACAGTCTGATTCACGCATTTTAACTCATACAGTCTGACCCCTTTTTCTAACTTCAACTTTCAGCATAATTCACTCTTACCTTGGCTGTTGGTCCAGCTCTATTTCTTCCTCTTTTTTTTTCTTGATCACTGCACGGATATGTGTATGCTAGTCCAACCTGATTTATTTTTAATCATTCTCTTAATCATTTCTCTCACTGTAACAAAATTCACACCTGTCTCCCTTTCCATTCTGTTCCTCTCTACTATCCATCTGTTGCAATCTAACATCGTATGTGTCATAGTGTCCTAGTTTCTACAGTAAAGGCATTCATCTGTGTCAGCCTTTTCGAGCCTAGAGAGGTAGACCCTAAAACAAGCATGTCCTGTGATCACCTACTTCAGGAAATAATCCAGTCGCCTGTGGCCACAGTCCACCCAATTTCTTATATTTGGGTTTAGCATTTTTATTTACTGTGCCACCGTGTTGTTCCATTCTTTTTGCCCTCTTTCAATTGACCTTTCTCTTTCCTGCCTTTTCTCGGCCACAGTAAGGTTTGGGCCCTTCTCTTATAGAGCTCTTTTTTTCACCACCAAAACATGTAACGGAACACATCCAGTGATGGTCCGCAAGGCTACATAACAATCATAACGTGTTTGGATTCATGATGATTAGAGTGCGAGGCTGTTGGCTCACATTGGGCCACACGCGAGGCTCACAATGTTTTTACATCTACTTAAATAGTAAAGAAACAGTATAACACATTTCAGGATGATACAGATCAAACAGATTGAAGTTTTTCTTTTTTGATATGCGAAAATATATTAGAATCTGCTGCAGTCTTTGGAATGACAGATTTTAGTGTCGAGTCAATCTATCTCATTCTAAATAGTGAGGACACTTCTTCACTGTATTGCAATTTTAAAGACTTTGTGATACCATATTTAACTTTTATACTTAAAGCATGTATCACGAAATAAATCCATTTACAATTTCAAACGCAAGAAAACAAAGAAAAATATAATGAATACAAAGAAAATTGGATTGAGTTTTTGATAGTGGATCAGCTAGGAGTCGCGGAAAAAGACACTTTTCCTGGTTGGGTAATTTGAGAGCTTGGTTTAACTGCACTTCTGATGACCTCTTTAGAGCAGCGGCGTCGAAAGTGCGAATTGCCATGATGGTTGCCAACCTTTTTAGAGGAGATGGCACGTGAAGAAGAAGAAGACTACATAACAATCATCCACACATGACCACGATTAACCAGTTTGACGCCGTGAGGTCATATTTATAACTAATATCATTTCACAAACACCGGTTTACTACAGGAAGAAATAAAACGTAGATGTAATCTAGTAAAAGTCGCCGTAGGAAAGATGGCCAAAATATGGAAGGACTCTCAAATTTCACGAGCTCTAAAAATATGGTTGATCAACTACTTAATATTCCCAATACGAATGTGAATCTTGGACCTTACGATATGAGGAAAGAAGAAAGATAGACGCCATGAAATATTCTCTTGGAGATGAATATTATGAATTCCGTAGACTGCATGTAGGACAAATTATTCAATTTTATATAAACTAAAAATCAGTTAAGTCCATCTTTAACAATTTAACTACTTTGGGCATGTTATAAGAGCAAACACAGAATATATGTAAAGACTTTTTAGTCAAGGGTGAAGATGAACAAGTTACCACTGAGTGTTTGCTGTTTTAAATTCGTCTTTCATAATCTAAAAATGTTCCTACAATATATAGTAATATAATAATATTACTAGATATATTGTAGTAAATATTATGTTTATTTGGGATTAAGCCGCAATTCATTGTAATGAAAATTAAATTTTATAATTGGTATTTGATGTTTCGATTTTTACTTCGGAAATGGTTTTTTAAAAAAGAGTTTTTTAAATTAAAATAGTAAGCTGTTATTATAACCAATAGTTGTTTGGCGGTTGAATCGAAACGTCAAATAATAATTCTAACATTTAACGTTCGGTAGAATTCATTGTGACCTAATAAATTGTTTCATTCTAGTTCGTCTACGAACGAATATTCTGTCTTAGTTTTTAGTCTATTTTTCAAGGATATTCCAAGCGTTCATCTCACCACTACGTTGTGTTCTTCTAAATTTTTCCACTGATGTTTCTGTAAGAGTTAAAGGTTCTGCTCCGTATGTGAGGACTAGTCAAATACACTGGTTGTGTTGATCACACGTTATAAACGAATTGAGACATTTGTTTTAAACATGTCTTCCATTTTTCCAAATGCAACCTAACGTACACTTCCTCTTCTGTGTAGCTCAGATATCTAGTTATCTCGCATTAGTCTTGTTTCGTGGTCTAAATACATGTAGGTATCTTTGGACACAACTATGGGCGATTTCTTGATTTCTATTAGCTTATTGGGGACGAGATATGTCATCATTTTTATTTTACCAAAGATTATCCTTTAATCGACTATCTGTTTTATTTGCTGTAGTTATTGTATCATAACTCTGGGTTCTCCCCTAGTCTCCATCTATATTAATACCCCACGAGTCCCACTCTAATCGTTTAAAGGCGTACTTAATGACTTTTAATCATGTGATGAAAGCTTAAAGTCGTTCCATTTTCATATATATTTTGAATATGAGGTATATATATATATATATATATATATATAATATATATATATATATATATATTATATATAATCACTAAATAGTAACCTCTCCTCCGCCACCGTTTTCCGCGACTATTCCAAAGCCTTTGACTGCGTAAATCACGACATTGTATTAAAAAAATTAACTTATATGGAATTCGGGGTGTGTCTTTGAATTCGTTGAAAACTCACTTGGTTAGAATTGGTACAAGATATTGAGTATGGAGTACCGTAAGGTTTAGTATTAGGTCCCATTCTTTTTTTACTGTTCATTAATGACATCACTTACTTGAAAATTAAAGGGAAAATTTTTCTATTTGCTGATGATACCAGTATTACTTGGAGCAACTCTAATATTTCAACGCTTCATTCAATTATAACCGCTGATTTGCTTATAATCAAGGCTTGGTCAGACTCTTACTTAGCTTTAATGTGGATAAGACAGTAGCATTATCTTATAAAGAAGTCATTCAACTCTGGCTTTTAAATGAGAGCCAAATCAGTATCGTTAATTCCGTAAAATTTCTAGGTATTCTTATCGACAGTGATCTTTAATGGTCCTTGCATACTGACTCCTTAAGGATGAAACTAGCCTCAGCTTGCTTTGCAATAAGATCTGTTTCGAAGGAACTAAATTTATCTTCTGTCAATATGGCATATTTCTCATTGTTCGAGTCCTATCTTCGATATGGGCTTCCATTTTGGGTTTGATACTATTTTTAAGTTGCAAAAAAACGCAATTCGTTATCTATTTGGTCTCAAACAAACAACTCATTGTAAGACCTACTTCAAAAATCACGGAATTTTGACACTTCCCTCTTTATTTATTTTTGAAACGGTTTGTTTGATTCGCAAGCATCTAAACATTTTTCCCGATTGACCTGATAATGGCTACTCCATTAGAAATTCGGATTGTAACGTTTATTTACCGATCCCGTCCACTCAGCTAGTAAAGAATTCTATTCTATATAGTGCAAAAAAACTATACAATTACCTTCCAAGAGAAATTAAATCCACAAAATCTTTCATTAAGTTTCGTAAGATGGCAAAAATCTATCTGTCTGAAAGACCATATTATTCAGTTGACGAGTTTCAGTAGTAGGTTTCAGACGAGTATTGTTTATATTTACATTTGGGTGTCTCAAGCAGTGGCTACAATTTGTTTCATTTGTCGCTATCTGTACAAATTATGTAAGTTATACAATAATTTTACTAATTTAAAATTGTATTGTTTTGTTTTTTTATTATATTTTTTATTTTTTTATTATATTTGTTTTTGTTTTATACTTTTTGTATTATTTGACTGATTTTTTTAGCTTTGTCCATAAAATTGTTCAATAATTATAAGTGACAATAAAGCATATTTCTATTCTATTCTATTTGCATACCTCTGGTCTATTCTGCTTCCTGGCAGTGTTTTTAAGATATCCAGTGTTTCCCCTGTGTCAAATGCTTAGTGGAAGTTAACATAAATAAGAATTAGGGTTCGGTTATATTCCATAGACTTGTCGACTAGAGATTTAAAGCACTGTAGATGATCATTCTGTCATCCAACGAAATTATTCTTGTTCTTTTAAATGGCAGAAATTGAGCTTTACTTTTAATCTGTTTGCCAGTATTCGAATAAAGTGATTATACAGATTGAACGAAATAAATTCGGAACATAGGAATATAATGTATTTCGGCTTAATTCTGCTGTAGCTGGTTGGCCAACAAAAGATTGTCAAAAAATTATATTATAAAAAATCCCATACTTCAGCGGGCTGCTGGATTCTAAACTCATAAAAATTGAAAGCTACACATAAATCTACGATTTTATTATGCTGTCAAACCAGTTATAGTCCAGGAAATGAAGCATTTCACCTTGCAATTTTTTCGTGCGGCGTGGATTGACTTGAAATTTAACAGAAGGTAGGTAATAGCCTAAGGATTAAAATCTATATCGAACCAAAGTGCGCCAAAGCCTAGGGGGTGGTTCCCACCCCATCTCCGGGGTGAATTTTTTTTTACGTTTTAACTACAGGTTTCGATTAGCTAAACAAAAAATGTGCTATACATTTTTTTATAAAATGATATTTTTCAAGTTATTCGCGATTGAAAGTAACAACTTTTAGACGAAAAAATCCACGTTTTTAATCGATTTTTCGCGAATAACTCGAAAATGGTGCATTTTATCAAAAAAATTGTAGAGAACAAATTTGTAGCTTTTAAAACGACAAATACAATTACAAATACAATATCAATGTTCAGCGGTTTTCTTCAAATGCCAAATTTGAAAGATTCAAAGTCAAATATCGGGAAAATGATGCATTTTTGGAAGAAAACTCACAAAACGTTTTTTAAAGAGCATAAATAGACCTATTATAAAAAAATAAGGTCAATACCTCATTTTTTACGAAAAAATCGAGGAAAACAACAACCTAACCACCCCCATAATTAAAATCGATCTTCACCCTTCTGCAATTCCCTTTGTAGATGTATTGTTAATACGTCCAAGAAGTTTGACCCATTTAAAATGCTTAGTTTTAGAAAAAGTACAGCTTAAAGCGAGAAACGATTTACAATTTCATATTTTTTACCCTTCTTTTTTTAAATATGCCCGAAAATACTGAATAAATGAAAAAAATAAAAATTACCAAATTGTAGGTTTTTTAATGACTAAAATTATCCTTTATTTAGATTTGTTGTACAATGAATATTTGGCGAGATATAGCCGTTTAAAGCATCGATTTACGATCAAGCACCATCTTTTTCGAGCCCTTTAAACTCACCCCATTTAAAAACCAAGGGTTCCAAAAAGATTTAATTCACAGATCCTTGTAGCTATTAAAAACCTCTACAAATCGTTTTTGAAGAAACATCTATCGTTAAAAATTAAAGGAAATACGTTAAAAAAACCAGTTAATTTTTTTCCGGAAAATTCCATTAGTATAGTACAGTACATTTCGGAGCATAATAATCTACAAAACCGGTATATTAGCTAGTGGGGCGTTATACATTCGAAATTTTAAGCGTTCTTATTTTGAAATCCCATACAACAGAATAAAACATCTGCTCATATGTCTATGGCTTGGCAATGAAAATATCAGAGCAACAGATTGGGGATGGTTTTCCAAAGATGGTTTGTTATTACCCGTACGCATGAACAAACAACCTGCACCCGATAAATTTTTGAAAATTATTTTTTGCCAATGCAAAAAAGGATGCGGCGTTTCATATGGGTGCAGAAAAGTTGGTTTATACTGTAACTCTACTTGTTCTGGGTGCTCAGGTGAAGGGTGCAATAACAGTCCACCAATAATTGAGGAAGATGATGATGACATGGATCACATGAAGATGTAATTGATGACGAATAAAATTAATATTATAATTGTTTTACCTATAAATGTAAATATTTTCAACTATTTATGTAAATGTATAAGAATATATGGTGCCTTTTTATGTTGATAATTTTTTTTGTATTTAATTCTACTTTTTTCAATTTATATCTTATAAATTAGTTTATAAAAACTGCAATGTTGTAAAGGGTGATTTTCAAAAGTTAAAAAGTTGCAAAATTTTGGCAAAAAATTGTTTTCACCTATAGCACTCATAACAATTGATTTTTAAGGGTTGAAAATGTATGAATTTGTATTTTAAAGTATAAAAAACTCACTATTTAACTAATCCAAACCAAATTTCACTCATCTTAGGATTTGTAATATTATTTTACAATTTTTGAAAATTAGGGGTAGTTTTCACCCCTAAGAACAATCAGGGTTCATCGGCTAGACATAAACTATAAAGTAGAGGGTGAGTTGTGCTTAATTCCAAATTTTTATGCAAGTCGTTCCAAGGTGAAATCATTTTCTTCGCATTACTAATTTTTTTATATTAATCTCTAATGATGGTCGCTTTTTAAGGGTTGAAATATGATGGAACTTTATTGAAAAGCACGAAACTATCATTATTTAATTAATTCAAACTAAATTTTACCCATATTCAGGTTTAATATGTTATTTTATAATTTTTGACAATTAGGGGTAGTTTTTACCCCTAAGAACAATCAGGGTTCGTCGACATGACATAAACTATAAAGCAGCGGGTGAATTGAGCTTAAATCCAAATTTTTATCCAAATCGATCCAAGGCGAAATCATTTTTTAGAATTAGTAATTTTTTACATTAATCTCTAACAAGGGTTGCTTTTTAAGGGTTGAAATATGATGGAACTCTATTCAAAAGTATAAAATAATCATTATTTAATTAATTCAAACCAAATCTTACCCATATTCAGGTTTAATATGTTATTTTATAATTTTTGACAATTAGGGGTAGTTTTCACCCTAAAACCCTTCAGCGCACTTCGGTTCGATATAGATTTTGATCCTTGGGCTATTACCTACCTTCTGCTAAAATTTCAACTGGATACATGCAGGACGAAAAAATTGCGAGGTTTTAACTTTTTTCGAGCTTCAATTCCTGAACTATTACGCCTCCTTAGACAAACCCGTCTTACGCAAACAACTTTGTTGCGAGACAGATAGTTGAACGATATTTTATACAATGTCTATACCCAGGTATGGATTTATTTTTGTCCAAGTTTTATATTGGTCCACTATTTTAAATGCAGTTCAAACAGACATGTATTAAATTGTATGTTCCGTTTTAATTTGTTATAGGTGGTTGAGTAAGCTGGCCTATAGTTTTTAAGATCTAATTGATCTCATTTTTCATAAAGGAGAATGTTTTTCCGAACCGAATTTTTCTATTTATTTGGGATGTTTTCATTATGCAGATATATCAACAAGTTGTAGATTCATACGATTAGATAAGAAAAAATAACTTTAATGTAGTTGTAATATGTTATAATATGTATTTAAACACAAGATATTAAAATTATAATAATTGTTTGTAATATTTTGTATACTTCTTCTTTACAGGTTTGGTAGAGTATGCCAGAATCAGAGGCATCAGAGTAATTTTGGAAATAGACGTTCCAAGTCATATAAACGAAGGTTGGAACCATGCCAATAAGGTTGATGACAAAATAGTAATATGTGGTGAAGGAGATGTAAATGGTGGTCACTTAAATCCTGATAACCCAAGAAGCTTTAAGTTGTTAGAATCCATTTACTCAGATCTATTCAGTTAGGCACAGATAACGAAACTTTTCATGTTGGAGGCGATGAAGTGGACTTAAATTGTTACAGAAATACAAACTCTGCTACTCATTTTCCCGGTCCATATGAGTTCTGGGCTGACTTAAATAACAAAATATTTAAAACTGTTACTCAAGCTTTTAATAATCAACCACCAAAAAATATTGTTATATGGTCAAATGATCTAACTAGCAATTATATGTCGTATCTTAACTATACGAAAAACCTTGTTGTCCAATATTGGTATGGACAAATTGATCCAATACTAAGAAATGGCAACAAGGTTATATTTTCTACAGTCTCCAACTGGTATTTAGATTGTGGATATGGACCTTGGAAATCAACTGAGAATGTAGGAAGTTGTGATCCATATAGGCATTGGAAGGCTTTTTATACCTACAGACCATGGTACGAATATCATATGCATAGAGAACAGGTCCTGGGAGGAGAGGCATGTTTATGGAGTGAACAGGTTAGTAGAGAAAGATGAAAAGGTAGCTGATATGAGCACATATTCATAAATGTTAGAGACTAAGGTCTTATACTAACAATCCATGTTATCTAAATGCTAAGTTCTTGTAAATATTTATTAAGAGAAAGATTGGGCGACTGATTTCACTGTTTACAAGCTATACAGCATCAGGCCCTCAAGAAACTAAATGCTGAAATAGATGGTATATGTAAGCCAATATGTATAAAA